TTTTTTTTTGGGCAATCCTGTACTCCCCCTCCCCCTTCTAACGGTGAGCAATGAATGGCTTCTCAAAACAGCACTGTAGGAGGTTTCTCCACACATGAAGCGCCCATCAAACTCAGCTATCAGATGGCTTTCTCATGTCTTCCTGTATATGAACACCCCTACGTTGATATACAAATGCCGGTGTAATCTTTAGTGGGGACATAATTGGAGAATACCCAGCAGGCAACGAAGTCTTCATCAACCTATCGTTTGTCTGAGTAAGGCCTACAAGAAAATATTTTCAGGTGAATTGGACTGGAACAAAAGAGCAATGAAAATCGACAAAATTAGAAAAATCATCGACGATTATCCGCAATTCCAGACAAGTCTTTTCGATTACGACAGTACAATCTACGATCTCATCATTACAGTCAAGGTATGTTTTTTACCTATCAAGTTAGGGTGTGGTCCTCTTGCAACTATCGTTCTTGAGCTGGAGATTGTCTGTAACTACATTGTCGGTACGATTTATTTCTAATATGAACGATGCAATTTTTTCAAATCCAAAAGGAAAACGCTGATGATTTTATACCTTAGAAGGAGGTTGTGTAGACGAAACTGGCCCGTTAGGGATTGAGGGGGTGAGAGGGAAGGAGGGTTTCACGTAGTCAGTCGATTCCTTTTGAGTCGATTGTAGCTGATTGTAGCGAAAAATCGATTCATATCAAATCTACAAGGAAGTTTTGATCTGCTTACCTTGCCCTGTTCATGCTTCAATGATATTTAATGATAGGGCTTGAGCAAATCGTCTGATTGTAGCCAAAGAAGAACATACTCCTGTCTGTATGTAGTTCCCCTCACTTTTTTCTACCTTCTTATTACCTAGATAATAATCGAGTAGTACCAAATTATGGCAAACCGGTAGCAGTTCCATTTTTCAGGATGAATTGACGAAAGCCGTTGCGATCACGTTTGCATGTATGACGGTCGCCTGTGCATTCATGATCCCAAGTATCTCAGGAGCTTCAGTCGCCACGCTTTCAATGCTCTCTATATCCTTCTGTGAGTTTTTGGAGAGTACTTGTCAGTAATCGTTTCCTTAGTGGTTAATGTTCGTTGCAAAGCAAAGAAGTAGCACGGGAGAAATGGTGAGAGGGGGAAGGGAAATGGTGAGTTGGAGTTAGCACTACTTTTCTGAGAGCTTTTAAGCAAGGGTTCCTCTGGCCCCATAAGCTAATAGACCTCACCAATTTTCCCGAATTTCTCGACAGTCGACAATTGATACTGTTCCTTTGGTGGTATAAGCAAATGAAAAGATCAGACGCGGAGTCGTCGAAGCAGACCTTGGGCAGCGACTGAATATGTAAGAAGGGGAGACTAAACATCTTGAGCAGCGTAGTCAACTATGCTGAACCCGAGTCTGCGGCGTGCACGGCGCACCTACACGGGAAACAGATGAGCCCTCGCATTGACGTAGTACAGCCGGTCAAGTCAAGCTGGGTGACCCAAGCGAAAACCCTTCTGCGTGATCTAGTTGCTAGTTGTTTCACAACTTGGTGAGCCACTCAAGAATTAGGTTTGTTCTCGAGTGATTCGTAACTTGGTGAGCCACCCAGAAATCAGGTTTGATTTCCAGTCTAACGTGCCGCACTGGTAGGTAGGGTTTACGATGGGTGTGGTTGCACCCGGCTGTGTTATGATTGCCAATGTCTCTAAAGTTTTTTGTTTGGTTGAGCGCATGAAATTTAATGAACTTCCATCCACATTCTTGCCGGGGCAAAGAAATATTGCAGCTCCATTTCATTACCCGTGGAGAATGAATAAGAAGGTTAAATGGTTTTGACAGCGATGGAGGTCTTACATCCCCGGAAAGTTCACGAGAATTTCTTGGTTCCCATATGTCCCAATGAATGGGTCTGAGAAAATTCTGCTCTTACGGCCCTAACGTGCTTCTAGAAGAGAAGTTCTCCCTTTTCTTGAGGACATCGTAAAAAGGGTCGGTAAAGGGGACACTCTCATCCGTTTTGGGGGTCCTGAGAGTTTCCAGGGAGGGGTTCCACTTCCAGCTCAGCGACCTTCACCGTTCGGTAAACATTTTCTTACGAATGATCCTTTCCGGTTATGAATCGTGCTCAGTACACCGCACGGTGAGATGGACGAGATTCATGAAGTGAAAATGTCAACAGCGGTGATCAATGAGTTGCCCGATAAGCGAATCATTTCTGTCATGTTTTTCGACTCAAAAGGCAAAGTGTAACAGACAACATCGTCACAAACAACTTCGATCATCAACTACTGATTGGGTTCAAATGTTCGACGGGGGCTCTTTGCTCTTTTCATATCGTCAATGAATAAATAGAGGAGAAGCCATTTCTTGAACTTTTGATTCGGGACTCTCCCTAGTCCTTTTGGTTGCTCAAGGGAATCTATACTTTGGCTTATTCCGAAGAAGATTCGAAAAGTAAACAATCAACGAAAAGTAGAAAAGGACTCATCGAGATATTCCTAGTTGATTGACCTATGCTCGGATCTCCCTCGTTGGATCTGGAGAAAAATAAGTGATTAAAGAGTGAGAAGGAATACGGCAGTTTTACGAATTTACTGGATCTTGAAACTAAAATGAGTAACTTCAGCCCTACTCGGGTTCCTTTCGTTGTGGGGACAAAATCTCGATCCAGTTACAATGATCAATGTTTTGATGGCAATCGGATTCAGCGTAGACTTCAGGTCAGTACTGCTTTCTCACTCAACTTCTCTTTTTCGCGAATAGGGTCTGCGGTCATACTCCGCGAAGGAACTGGCGTAAAGCGTGCCGCAGGGACGCAGAGTATAAACGCGACCTCCGCCGTCTTAGGAGAAACTGCAGGTGCCCGATGAACATCTATAAAGATCTTTTTTCAGCGCTCATGTCTGCTATCACTACCATATTAGTCTGAGCGAAAGTGTACTGCTCAACGATATTGAACGAATGACCAAAATCCTTCAGGCGGTTGGAAAACCAATCATAGAGGTGAGACAGTGCAAAAAGTAACCGTCGTGCAATACAGAATCCTCGAATTCAGGCATCGCTATCTACACTCATCTGTATGATTCCGCTGTTCTTCGTGCCTGTTTACATTATTGTGGCGTTTGCGAAAACTGTCTGTCTAGTGGCTCTGCTCGGGCTACTTCACGGTATCGTCATCATACCGGTGTGCTTAACCTTCTTCCCAAAGAAAACGAAATCACTTTTCACGAGGACACCGGCTCATCTGGAAGAACAGAAGGAATCGATGCTAACATAGATTTCATCATTTCGCTTACTTTTCCTTCTCAAATTTGAAAAATCGAAAAATTCGACTGATTAAGGATAGCGTGTACTTTTTTTCTGAGGTGGACAATTGTGAACACGATTGGAACGAAGCGCGCTCAATTGTGACCAATTGCTACATTGAAACTCGACTCCTCTCTTGCCGCACAGTGCGTCGCGCCCCACTTTTGCAGCTTGACCCTATTATCTCAGCGAAAGAATCGCGTTTGACGTGTTCCCCTAACTCTTCACCGCTGCTCACATCTCCCTTTCCTTTTTCGATTTACTAATTTCCCTTTTTCCTGTTCGACTACATTTTGTTTGTCGATTTCCCTGTCCTTTCTCCAGGAAGCAGTGATTCGAATCATTGACTAGTTCAAGAATACTCAAATCTCTATATAGGGAAGTCTCTAGTCATTCCTAATTAGAAAACTTCAAAGGACATATAGTCGCCCACTGTGCCATTTTCAACTTAAGATAGATCTCAATTGGACAATTCATAATTGTACGTTGTTGTAGATTTTTGTACGAGTAGAATGCCGATAATCGATTAGCCTTTATTGATTTCCATCGACCCTGTTGAGGTGGTGCACATTATCTCCCTGAGAAGTTATTCATGGGTTTGCTTCCAACGTATCAGGTCATGCTGTTATTCGATTACGGTAAGAATGTTTCTGATGCAGGTACTGTATGCTTTTAAGAAGATATTTAAGCATTACAATTACTAGTAGGTCATTAAATGTTCCCAGTGGAAGGAAATTTATTTCAAACTGGTTAGAAAGTGTGCACCAACCCGACATATTTTCCACGCAACTCACGTCGACGGCTTATTGTTGGTAATAACCCGATTGGGTAGACCACGAGGAAATAAAAATGTAAAAGGAATGACCGACCGAAGTGAAGTAAATCCAAATCTCTCCTTCCTCAAAGTTTAGTTTTTCTGAAAATTTTGATCGAAAACCTGACAATAGACAAATTAGTTTTGCCTGTTCTCTATGTTGCGACCCTTTAAGCCCCCAGTCACTGATGTTATTCGATGAAAAGGCCAGCTCAGTAAGGATCGGTGACGAGCTCGGACTGGGCCGGTGACATTCTCCCCTAATTATTGAGCGGGCGAAGATCCTTGCTGGCGACTCGTACAAAATCATGATTTTTTTTTGTCAACGCATAATTGTAGTAACCACCATGTATAAATATCTCAGGAAACAGATTTTAGTTTCGTTGTACAAATGTATAGTTTCGAATTTGTAAAAGTAGTTGTACGAATTGTTATTGTGCACATTGTACAAACTAGGATTTCCTATGATGCATCAGTCAAATAAAGATTTATTAATTATAATAAATTTACAACTCTGTTAGAACATGAAGCATAAAAAGAAAAGGCGCGCAGAATTGTCATAAATCATTAGATTGTATATTGTTCACAGGACAAGGACTAGTTTGAAAAACTATGGTAAATACATCACCGGGTAAGCACTGGCCGCTACGCTACCGTGCGCTCGATTCCCACGTACTGGGGTGTGGCTTGGTTCGCGCTAGCTATTGCATTTCACCTACG